TTTATTTATAGATGAATATAGTACAAGGTACAAGAAATTACTGGGATGCCCCTGATTAGTGATGGGACACCCAGATGACTTAAATCATTAAACAGGATTAGGCCCATTAACACAAGCCCAGTTACAAGATAAGTTAAACATAAGAATGGGCTAATAAGAACTCTTATCAGCCGAACATCACTCTAACATTCTAACATATTCTACAACTAAAATCCAACTAGAAAGTTCGGTTTGAAGTTTCTGTTAAGGTTAAAGTTAAAAAATATGAATCCAATTCATATTAAATTTCAGGCTAGGTTAAGATTGAGACATTGTTCAATCTGACCCTATAATATATAAGTAAATAAGTCATTCTAATTCAAGTATAACTTCAAAAATCCAATTCAAACAAATTGGATTGAATAGCAAAAAATTAATGGATTTTGTTATAGTTAAAATTAGGATTTCAAGAAATCAAATTGGGTCATGATTGAGATAAATCAGTATTAATGTGACCCCCACCCAAAATATTTGCTCCGCCCCTGATCCTAGGCATATCCCAATACGTCTCTTAAAGTTGCTTTTCCGATACACTTAGTGTTTCCAGTACTTTGAACCTTGCTTGCAGTTTGATGTTGCATATTAATGTACTTAAGGGATTTTGGGCTGATGCTGTGTTGACCACTGCGTTTCTTATCAACCGTATGCGTAGTCGTGTTCTCAAGTTTAAGGCCCCATAGCTCTTATTTCCTCAGTCTCCCTTGTTTTCTATCCCAGTTCGTACTTTTGGGTGTTGGTATTTTGTCCAGGACTTGCCTCTGTCTTGTGGTAAGCTTGACCCGTGTTTCTATTCCTTGTACTTTTCTGGGATATGTCACCACTCAAAAGGGATATAAGTGTCATGAGCCCTCCTCTCGTCATACATTCATCTCCATGGTTGTAACTTTCACTAGGCATCAATCATTCTTTCCTGTTTCTCCTTAGGGGGAGAATAGTACTTTGGCCGAATAGAGAAGAGAACAAGAATAATCTTAGAGGTGTCCAGAATAATAAATCCCCACCTCAAAGAGTCTCTTATACATTAATAGATATTACAATTACAAGAATGCCTATATAGGGATGGAAGAGAAAAAAGGAATAAAGAATACACGTAATGTAATGTACAACAGGCACTATACTAATAAGATACATCAAGTCACAATATCTCCACAATTTGTAGAACTAGGTTGATCAAGTGCTAGATCTGGATTGCTAATATGTTATGTCTGATGTAGATTATAATTAATCCTTGACATTTTGCATTGTGTACCTGTTCATTATGGTTTTTCTTGTCATCTCACTGGTTGTTAGAATCTTAATTCAGTAACATGTATACCATAAATAAATTACTGCTTGCTGTCAATTTCCCATTGTGTGATTTTCATGGGCTTTGGAAACAGGGAGCTGTTCTATCTCTGAGTGATTAGTGTTGATCCTAACTGTTCTATTGCTTTCTTCATGTCGTGTTGTCATTCTTGCATGATCCCATTGTCTGGCCTGATGTGTTTCTTTGTCCACTCTGTGTAGACAACTATTTCCTTTCTGTTTGGTGCTTGAAATCTTATTTGGCATGCTTGTCTGTCAGTCTGCCTGCTAAGTTCACAATCCCATGTGTAGGTTCGGCTATTGGTTTTAGATTGGATAGCCTCCTTAAACTCTCTGATACACGTGCGCGGAACAACAAGATGACTCTCATGCATTATCTTTGTAAGGTATGATATTTGTTTGTCTGTGCTTATTATTCTTGTCTGTTTGCCTTAAAATTTAGTCGACTTTACTAATTTTATGTTTCGGTATGGATATCGTATCCAGTGTTTTAGAAAAAAACTGGGAAACTAAACCATTTTTGGCAAGGGCTGTACTTGTTTGGACACTATAGGACTTGACAAGGGTTGTGCTTATTTGGACAATATGGGAAGAAAGGAACAGTAGGATGTTCGTGGACAAGGAAAAGAATAAGGAGGCAATTATTTAATGTGTAACCGCTAGGGCAGGTCACTGGGTAAGTCTTTAGATAGCTTTTCATCCTATTCAATGGATGACATTGTCAGAAATTGGAAGTAGTAGGGACATCATGAAGAAAGGAGAAGTAACATGGGGGAATCTAAGACCATAAGGAGTGGGAGGTTTCTTTAGAAATGAGGAAGTATATGTTTTGTTTCTTTGTATCCAGGACTGGTTGTAGAAGAGTCGTTAAGGGCTGAGATCAGGGTTGTAATGGAAGGGGTGCAAAGGGCGAAGGAAATGACAATTAAGAAGTTGATAATTGAAGGTGACTCAAAACTGGAGGGTGGTTGCTAAGAAAAAAAGGCAGCTTTGTGGTCATATAGAATTGAGACAAGAAAATTCAGGTGGCTAACCCGAGATTTAGAAGTAAAAATCATTTGGGTACAATGGGAAGCTAATAGTATGACAGGCATCCTAGCAAAATAGGGGGTGGGGAATGATCACATGATTTGGGAACATTTGTAAATAAGGAAGGTTATATCGTGGACTAACACCAGGGGTAATGCTCCTTAAGGGACATTGAAAGTCTAGCAAGGGAACTTGGTGCTTCTTTCACTTGGATGAGGAGGACTGCAAATGGGATGGCTGATTCATTAGCTAAACAGGGAGTTTATAGGCAGAAGCATTTCTGAGCTTTATTGCAATACTATGTGGTGCATTGTCTGTTTTATGTTTTACTGTAATTCTGTAATTTGTTTCTCTTAATTGAATAAAATTCTTATTTGCTGATCAAAACCAAAAAAAGGAAGGGGAGAGTCAATAGAAATTAGCTTTCAAAAAGGTGTCTTGTATATACATGTACATTACACCATCAGCATCCAAGCTTTATCCCAACTATATGGGGCCAGCTACATTAAACATGTATCGCCATTCCAATCCTATTTAATGCCATATCCATTGTTAAATTATTAGCACTTAAATCATTTCTTACTACTTCTACGAATGTCTTTTTTGGTCTACCCATAGCCCTTCTAGCCYATGCAGCTTGTAACATATTACTTCTTATAGGTACCCTTGATGGTCTTCTATGCATGTGACAAAACCATTTTAGTCTACTTTTCTCTCAT